GGCAATGACCATCTCCAATAAAAGATAATCTAACCATCACCCCTTTGACATTCAATGGCATTATCATCACTGATTCCTCCACTATCAACATCCTGCATGTTACCCTTAACCAGAAATTGAATTAAACTAGCCATATAAATATATTGGCTACAACAGCAGGTCAGAGGCCAGAAATATTGCAGTGACTAACTTTCCTCCTGACTCCCCAAAGTCTATTCACCATCAACAAGTTACAAATCAGGAATAGCAATGGAATAGCAACCCCCCACCACTTGCCTGAATGGGTGCAGTTCCAACAATACTCCAGGAGCTTTACACCAAACAGGACAAAGCCTGCTTGATTGGTACCACGTTGACAAATATTCAGTCTCTTTACCACTGACATTCAGTAGCAGCAATGTGTATCATCCACAAGTTGTACAGCAGAAATTCAGCAACGATCCTTCAACAGCACCTCCCAAACCCACAGCCAGTTCCATTTAGAAGGACAAAGGCAGCAGATACATGGGAACATCACCACCTGCAAGTATCCCTCCAAGCCACTTGCTATCCTGCTATCTTGACTTGGAAATATCATCATTCCTTCAGTGTCGCTGGATCAAAATCCTGAATTCCTTCCCTAATAGCATTGTGGATCGATCTACAGCACATGGATTACGGTGGTTCAAGAAGGCAGCTTACCACCAGCTTTTCAGAGGCAACTAGGAGTTGGCAATAAATGCTGGCCCAGCTAGCCACACCCAAATCCCATGAGTAAATAAAAAAAACTTCAGTTAGAATAATTAATGGCAAGATTGGCAACATTACAGTGGTATCTCCAAACCCTTATTTCCAATGAAGCATGTATGTGTTTGTTTCTTTGGAATGAATGTGGGAACAACTTTTTGCCCATCTTTAGTCAGAAGTGCCATGTCGATAATCCATCTTGGCTTCCTCTCGATTCCCAGCATCAGGGAAGCCAGTCTTCAGCCATTTTGATTCATTCCATTTGATATCAAAAAAACAGATTAATTCTCTGAATGTTGCAAAGGCTGTGGGCCCTGACAATAGATGTATGAAAGACATTGTTTTCCAGAAATAGCTGTGCCTCTAGCCAAACTACAGCAGTACAGCTATAACACTAGCGTCTACCCAGCAATGTAGAAAATAGTTCAGCCATACGCTGTCCATAAAAAGTAGGCCAAATCCAGCCTGGCTAGTTAATGGCCCATTATTCGACTGTGGATTATTGACAAAGTGCTGGACAGGGTCTTTGATTGTGCTAAGTGGCATTTTCTTAGCTTACTGCTCAGTTTGGATTCTGCCAGGATCTCTCAGGTCCTGGCTTCATTACAGCCTTAGTCTAAACTTGGACAAAACACCTGAATTAATGTGAGCTGGGAGTGAATGCCTTGACATCAAGGCAGCATCTGACTGAGTATGGCATTAAAGAGCCTTAACAGAACTGAAGTCAGTAGGAATCAGTGGGGTGGCAGGAGTGTGTGGAAGCTGTCCACTGGCTGTAATCATCTCAGTACAAGGAATCGCAGCTGAAGTTCCTCAGGGTAGTGCCCTAGGCCAAATCATCTTCTACTGTATCAACAACGTTCCCTCTGGCATGTCAGAAGTGGGATTGTTCAATTTTCATTGAACAATGTTCAATACCATTTCCTACTCCTCAATGAAGCAGTCTGCCTCCATATGTAGCAAAATAACTTTCAGACTTGGGCATTCATCTTGGGCATTCAGGCATTCATACAACTGCCAAGGAGTGACCATCTCCAGCATGAAAGCAACTAACCTTTTCCCTTTGCCCTGTAACATTCAAAGGCATCGCTGTCACTGATTCTCATCCTGGGGGTTACCATTGATTAGGAAACTGAACTGGGTAATCATATAATTAGTGCGGCTAGATGAGAAGCTTGTTGTAGGTAAATCACCCCAACTTATCTTTAGTTTGTCTACTTGTCTAAAAACCTCACAATCAGTATGGAAATAATGTTTTAAATGTTATTACATGTAGCAACCAAAATAAGACTCAACTTGGCTGTTACCTGATTTAATGGTGAAATTTAGCTACATTCCAACCAACAGTGTTTGCCTTTGAAAGTGTCCAGAGTTCAATCCTTGTGCAGTATTGTTCTTTGAAGTTCTGCCACTGAATTGTTCTGGTGTTGAATCCTTATACAGATTTTCATCCTTTAGGTCCATGATGTGATATTATTGATGATTCTTTAGATCCTTTCATCCACAGTATTGCAAGTCTGCAGCTTGCCTTCTTATCTGAAGTAGCTTCTTTGTTCCTTTGTTATATTTGGCATTAACTGTCTGTTTGAAGACAGAGCTTTCCTGCAGTTAACTCCTTAAATTCTTCTGCAGGGCAATCAGTTGTCCTTGTGGCAATAAAGCACCCAGTCATCAAGTAGATGTCAAAGCAGTTTTCTGTAGCTTTGATTCCCTCTTAGCCATGTTTGGAAGAATTGCTTTCAATTCCTGAAGAAGTTTGTCCTTGTCCCTTAATAGTTTATTCCAAACAGAGTTATTGCTGCTTCTTTTCATGTGTAACAGTTTAACTTTGATTCATTCAATCTATGAACAATTATTAAAATTCTGAAGCTTATAATATAACAAGGTCAAAGGCTGGGAATTCTGATGTGAGTAACTTCCCTCCTGACTCCACAAAGCCTGTTCACCATTTACAAGGCTCAAATCAGGAAATTGCTGGAATCCTTTACTTGTCTGGAGAAGTGCAGCACCAACAACACTTAAGAAGCTTGACACCATCCAGGACAAATCAGCACCATATCTACCACCTTCAAAATGACCTCCTTCACCAATGCACATGGCAACAGTGTGTTCCATCTATAAGATGCACAGCAACAGCACCCCAAGGGTCGTTCAACAGCACCTTCCACACCCACAACATCTTCCACTTGGAAGGACAGGAACAGAAAATGCATAGGAATATCACCACCTGCAAATCGCTGTCCATGTCCTCATGACTTGCACTTTGTTTTGTACTTCATTCATGTCTGTAGGCATATATTGCCCATCCTCAATTACCCTGGAAAACGTGGTGGTGAGCTCTGTTTTGAACCACTGCAGTTCTCTGGGAGCAGGGGCAACCACAGTACTGTTAGTTTTCGAGCATTTTGACTCAGCGATAGTGAAGGAAAGTTGTTTATATTCCCATGTCAGGATAGTGAGTGGTTTGGAGAATTTGCATGTAGTGCATTCCTGTGCATCTGTTACTCTTGTCCAACTAGGTGGTAAAGATCATAGGTTTGAAGGGTGCTGTCGAAGGAGTCTGACAAAGATTCCTTCCTTTGGTATGGTTGTGTCAAAATCCAAACTCTTTTCTTCACTGCACCCAAACCGTATGGACTGCATCAGTTTAAGTAAAGTGGTTCACCACTACCTTCTCGAGCAATCATGGATTAGGCAGCAATTTCTGGCCTAGCCAATAACATAAACCTTCTGTGACAGAATAAAAGACTTTAGTATGCTGGGCTCTGGAGAAGGACATCGATCACAGTATTCACTCCCAGATTCTGTTTGTTGGCCACTGCTGTATACCCATTTAGTCCTTTGGATAGAATCATATTTGATGGTGCTGCTCCTCCATAGTCACATGATGCTTCGGCAACTGACTTCCCACTTGTGAACTTGCTCACCAAGTGTTAGTCATTGCCTTCAGACAAAGTGAACAAGAATGTTTAAAAAAAAAAGCAAATAAATAGTTAGATACGAGCCTCCATCAAGGAGGGTGGATGATTTTTAAAATTAATACTTGACAAATTCCCAGATCTTGAATTAATTATATTCTGTTCCCTGTGCCTCAATCAAGCTTATTAGGTTATTGCAAACAAATTCTTAAGATGTTATGAGAAAGATTATGAAATCTACAATATAAACGTTCTGATTTTCTTTGTATTCATTTTACAGATATGATCCTCGATTCAACAGTTGGATTCATCTGGGGAACATGATCCACAGACGCACCCACTTCAGCCTAAATGTTTTTAATGGTTTACTATTTGCAATTGGGGGGAGAAATTCAGATGGTCCTCTTTCCTCTGTTGAATGCTATGTACCAGCAACAAACAAGTGGCAGCTTAAGACACCTTTAGAGATATCTAGGTGCTGTCATGCTAGTGCTGTCATTGATGGCAAAATCCTGGTAACTGGAGGATACCTCAATAGTGCATATTCTCGTTCAGTCATAGCCTATGATCTGTCAGCAGACAGTTGGCAAGATAAGGCTAATCTTAACACACCTAGAGGGTGGCACTGTGCCATTTCCCTTGCAGATCGTGTGTATGCATTGGGTGGAAGTCAGCTTGGAGCTAGGGGTGAAAGGATTGATGTGCTTTCTGTTGAATGTTACAGTCCCTATACAGGGCAATGGAGCTATGCTGCTCCTCTCCAAGTTGGTGTTAGTACTGCTGGTGTAACAACTCTTGACAGTAAAATCTATCTGCTGGGAGGTTGGAATGAGATAGAAAAGAAATATAAGAAATGTGTCCAGTGTTTTAATCCAGATATTAATGACTGGTCCAATGAAGATGACTTGCCAGAGGCTATAGTTGGCTTGTCCTGCTGTGTTTTCACCTTGCCTGGTCAAAGAACACAAGAATCCAGGACCAGTTCAGTATCTTCAGTTCCAGTTAGTATTTGATTACAGTTGAAGAGATTTTTAAACTAAAATCAATTAATTTCACAGAAAGAAGCTAGATTTAAATTGCTGCTCAAATAAGCTTTCATAATTAGAAAACAGTTTATATCCAATCAAGTTAAAAGGAAGTGGTACAACAATGGTACCAAAACAAGATGTACATATTGCTCTGCTTAAGTTAGTTGTTTACAGGGGAAATAAATCAATCCTGAAGGTGTGACTTTCAAATTGTTTGTGGCATGCAACAACAGATAACTGTAGTCAGAAAGACAATTAGCTTCAGTAAAGAATTCCACATTTATTTAGCGGTCTCGACATTTGTGGCAGAGGGTAGGTGTCTTGTGGCACAGTGGGTCACATTCTTGCCTCTGAGTCAGAAGCCCTGAGTTCAAGTCCAACTCCAGGACTTGATAGCTAGAAAAGACGCATTCATAATGTGGTCAAACAGGTTGACTATCAATCTGCAAATCCTTCCAACATGTGACATGCCTGTGGCAGACAGTAGGAGCAAGAGAGACTTCTCGTCAGCCATACTTGATGTGGTGTGTCACTGCTCAAGCTATAACCTCTGTTTTCAGATACTGACCTATTCCACTTGCAGAGAATATGTGTGTTCTTTGATGCTTCATGCTTCCCTAGGAAAAGAAAGTCATTCTAAGTCTCAGTCTAGAGCTGGCAGATTTTTATAAACTAATATTTAAAACTAAATAATATGATAGTTTAATTGTTTCATAATTAACTTATTAAAGTCATAGTTTTTCCTGTTTCTTTGTAGAAATTCAGTTTCTTTCTATAAATCTGTGGCAAGTTGGTCTATATCTATCGAGGCCGTTTTGACACAGCATTTAAAAGGCATCTGGATAGGTATGTGAATAGGAAGGGCTTAGAGGGATATGGGCCAAATGCTGGCAAATGAGACTAGATTTATTTAGAATATCTTGTTGGCATGGACAAGTTGGACCGAAAAGTCTGTTTCCGTGCTGTACATCTCTATGACAAGAAAAAAATTTGTGGGATGTGTAGTAAGATATCAGTTCAGAATGAGTCACATGGCATATAATTAGCCATGAGGCGAAATTTTTACTCCATATTGCCACTCCCTCTTTGTGGCCAACTCAATGTCTTCACACTACAGGATAATTTTGAAATAATCACATTCCTCCAGACCAACTACATTTGCTCCCTGTGCTCCTTTTGTCCCACTAATGTTGTTGGATATTCTCTTTCTGTTGTTCAAGTTATCCACTCACCTACCGTAATCAGCTTATTTATTTCCACCTGAATTACTCCCACCCTTTCTTATAAATTCCACCAACTCCCTAAGAATTAGGGCTGTTAGATATTTATACAGTTGCAGTCATCATTTAGATGTCCTGCTAAATTAGGGGACTGAAAAGCTGAATAGGAAGGGCTTAGAGGGATATGGGCCAAATGCTTAATCCATTTTGATGCACCTTTGTGGTGAAAGGGGAAAGTTAGTTTTAAATTATGGAAATTCATTAGAATCCCTACAGCGTGGAAGCAGTCTACACTGACCCTCTAAAGAGCAGCCCACCAAGACACACCCCCTTACCCTATCCTAGTAACCTTGCATTTGCCATGGCTAATCCACCTAGCCTGCATATCCCTGGACACTATGGGCAATATAGCATGGTCAATCTTGCACATCTTTGGATTGGGGGAGGAAACCAGAGCACCCAGAGGAAATCCAGGCGGCCATGAGAATTGTGCAAATTCCACACAGACAGTTGCCTGAGGGTGGAACCTGTGTCCCTAGCACTGTGAGGCAGCAGAGCTAACTACTCAGCCAACTTGCTGCCCTAGTTTAAGTTGAATATGCTTGTGTAGAACCATTAAAATTATTTATAAAATATACATCCAGTGTACAAATTTGGAAGCACATGCATTTTTAAAGTTTAAACCTTAACTACAAATCAGTTGTACCTATTGGTGAAACTCGTGTTGGAACTTGTTAATAATACTGACTCAAGTTTTTTAAGTTGTGTGGTGGGGTGGGAACATAAAATGTCTGACAGAATTCTGTATCATGGCCAAGCCTGATTTTGCTCCCAAGAACATCTAGGTACGTGAACAAACTAGGAGGATTTAAGGAAACAAAACAATAGTATTAATATGCAATAGAGTTCCGCAGATATTGTTGTATTCTTGTAAGTCTGCAATGTATTAACATTTCACTGTTTCAAACATGCAAACACAAGTCATCATTGGTTTGCTCGTTTCAGTTGCACAATTGAATTCAACATATTTTGTACTGGGGAATGTGTTTATTTACTTGCACTCATATTTGAAACAATTTATTCTTTGAGGTCATATGGGACTGGAGACTACCTTCCTGCCTGACTTAATTTCCACCTTTCCAAGCGTATAGGCAGGCCAAGGATTGAACTGCAGCTGAAATTCTTCACTATTGTTGTGAGGCCACAACCAGGTCACCCATAATTTTAAATAATGGAGCAAGCTTGAATGGTCAAATGGCCTACTCTTGCTCTCACGTACTCAGTTCCTTCGAAAACATGTGATAAAACTAAACATTAAAAATCCTTTCAAAAATTAGAAGGAGCACTGTAGGAGAATCTCCTACATTGAGTCTCTGTCCTTAATGTGGAGTCCTTGACAACATTCCACAGTATGCTACCCATCACTACCTCAGCGTGACTGCTTCCAAAATGATATTGAAAAGACCGTCCAGCAGCTGAGAATGAACAAGTCTGCTGGCACAAACTGAGGCTATGCTAAGTACCAAATTACGGCAGAGAACAAAACAATTTCAGTAACTCATCTCCCTCATTCAGAAGGAGGCAAGCATGCCAGGGGATTTACAAGACGCTGTAATTGTGACCATCAAGAAAGGAGACATGACTGATTGTGGTAACTACACAGGGGTCTCCCTGCTGTCCGCCATAGGGAGGGTTATTTGCAAAAGTTCTCTTCGATCACTTTATAGCAGTGGTTGAAGAGGTCCTACCAGAGTTACAATGTGGATCCCATCCATCAAGAAGCTCAGTGACATGATCTTCACTTTTCTTGGACTTGTCTTGATGTGCAGAGAGCAGCAGCAACCTTTAACATGACCCTTTTCAACCTCACAAATGCCATCAACTCTATCAGCTATGAGGGATAATGAAGCACTGTCTTCATGCTTGGTTGACCACAGAAATTTGACAGTATTTTGCACCCATTGCATGATGCTATACAAGTGGTGGTCCTCACCAACGGATCCACCACAGACTCGATATGTGTACAAACAGAGGTTGAGCTAGGCTATGTCCTTGCACCAAGGCTCTTCTCTGTGACCTCCACATATCTGTGAAGTTTCCCACTGGAGTGGAGCTTCTGTGCAAGAGCTTCTGTGCAAAGCAATGGCGTCAGCTCCAGTTCAGAACTAAGAATACCACAATCTCTGTCAATGAGCTGTAGTACACAGATGTTGCTTCTATGTGCACACATTCAGAAACTGAGCTCCAAACCACCATCAATGCAATCTCTGAGGTGAATGAGAGAATGGGCTTTGGGCTAAGCATTTTGAAGATGAAGGTCCTCTCCAAGCTTGCTCCACTGTGCACTGACTATCATGATCTATGGCTAGCCACTCAACATAGATCATTGCTGATACAGTGGAAGCCTTCTTTCAACAAGGCCAGAAAACAATGAAATTCAATACTGCCTCCAGGGTGCCATTGCAGTCTTTGGCCATTTAAGGAACAGCATATCTGATGACAAAATCTTGAACAGCACTTATTTCATAGGCAGTTGTGTTGGCTATCTTTCTCAATGCATTGTCCAAATCTCCAATGCACAGAAAACACCTCAAATCGCTGGTGATATTTCTATAGGGATGACTCCACAAAATTCTGAAAGACAACTGGCAGGATTGATGCTCCAATATCATTGTTCTCTCTCAGGTCAACATCAGGTCAACATCCCCAGCATTGAGACAGGTCACTGTCAATCAGCTGCAGGCCACGTTGTCCACATGTCTGTCACCAGATTTCCAAAACACACTCCAAGCTTTATCAAGGAATGCAGTTACCAAGAGGGCAGAAGAAATACTTTAAGGATGTTCTCAAAGTCTCCCTTAAAAGGATGCAATATCCCTTCTGACTCGTGGGAATCTCTTGCCCAAGACCACTCAAACTGGAGAAGAAGCATCTGCAAAAGTGCTGATCATCTCAAGGATCTGTGACAAGCACAGGGAGAGACCACGTGCAAATAGTGGAAGAAGCACACGAAGACCAAGCATCACACCTACCTATCCCTTCCAAGACTACTAGTCCCACCTGTCTCGGGATGTATAGGTAAAAAGCATTGGACTATTAAGGAACCACAACAACAGAGTGGAAGAAAGGCAGTCCCCTGTGACCACAATAAGTAAGATGAATTATTGGGTTCTGATGCACAACAAAACTGTCTAGTTTTATTTCACTTTTGCTTATAAATAGGCCTGAGGCTGTCATTTTTGGTCCTGGAAAGTGTCCAGTTTATTTCAATTTACCCTGGGATATCTCAAAATGTTGAGCAGCTAGTGAAGCTAGCTGTTTCATGTTGCTACTATGCTGCTCAACAGCAGTAGTGTTTGTCACTGACAGGATATTGCTGCCAAGCCAAAAAGATGTTCTGCTTATCACATAAATTATGCAGTGCATGAATTCCAGTGCCAGTGTGATGCTGTTTACAAAGGCTAGTCTTCCCAGAGACTGGTTGGTTGTATTACATAGCATATCAGCTGCTCACAACAAGCAAGGTACTGATCATCTCTAAACAATCTACGCTTGCAATATTCATTGTAATAATGTTCAATATTAGATGTGAATCTATGATTGGACAACATTTGCTAGATAATCCTGAGTGTTTGATTAATTGCATTTAACAACAGGGCCCAACAAAATAGGTGACAATCATTTTACGCTTCATTTCTCAGAGCAATGCATTGATCAATGCAGAGTCGACCTGTCTGGTTTAAATTCTTTCAAAAAAAACTTGGCAATTAATTGCCAATCATCATCGACTGGTGAATTCTCCATGCCACAGTTCTATCAATCAGAGTCCACTTGTCAATCAGTCAGCACTCTCCTCTTGTACAATATAATGTTATTTTTGCTTTTCTTGGGTAGTTCTTGCAAATTGTCCTGAAAAATACAAAGCAAAAAAGCTTCAAGAAATGTTATTATTTTTCTGCTTTGCTGCATTCTGTACTACCAAATTTGTACACACAAAACTTTTACTGAAGAAGCATCAGTGACCAGACTAAAGAATGATAAGAAAAGCCCTAAAGGGGAGATGAAAAATTTTATGCAATTAGTTATGAGGTGGAATGTGCTGCCCAAGAGGATAATAGATGAAAATTCAACGGTAACTTTCATAGTAGATTAGGTGTACATTTTGAACGAAATTGTCAGTATGTGAGGAATAGGAAGTGGTGTGCGACTAATCAGCTCTTTGAAAGAGCTGGCCCAAACAGAACAGTTCAAATGATATCCTTCTGGACTGCAAGCTTCTATGGTAAAGTATCACCACTTCCTCCTTAATTTAGCACTTATTGCAAAGGATTATTTTCTTTTATCTCCAAGCCCGAAGGTAGTGGATTCAAGTCCCACTCTACGTTTGAGCCCATAATCTAAACCGAGATTCCAGCACATAAGCAAAGCTAACATTCCACTGCAATACAGAGGAATGCTGCACTGTTGTTGCTGCCATTTTTCACACGAGATGTTTTGCTCGAGGCCCCATCTGCTGTCTGCACAGGGCCTTAATGTCTCACAGTACCATGGTCCTGCTCCTGGGTTCCCTGATCAGCAATTATCCCTCAATAAAATCATTAACGACCTAGTCATTATCAGATTGGTATTTGTGGGACTATGCTGTCCACAAATTGGCTGCCACATTTTCGACATTACAACAGTGATAGCACTTCAAATGTACCTTACTAGTTGTGAAGAGTCATGAGACTTCATGGGGTTGTGAAATTCACTACAGGAACAAAGGACTTCCTTATATAGTGCAGCTTTCATGACCACCAGATGATTGAATGCTTTTTAGTCAAGGAATTGGTTTTGAAGTATAGTCACTATTGTAGTTACATTTACATAAAGGATTATTTTATAGTTTTCTTCCCTGTTCCTAGCTTACATACTCAGTCAAATGAGAGGAGAAATCCGCATGCTTCCTATGCACATAGCAGTAGTGTCAGGGAAAGTTTACATACTGCATATACTTCACCAGCATCACTTTTTCAGAAGTGTATGACTTGCCTGTTTGAACACACAAAGGAGGGTCCACTGCACTTCTGGCAAAATAACGGTTAAGGGGAGCAGAAGCCTTGAAATTCCTGTTCAACTGCTAGGATTCAGTTTTGTGTTTGAACCAAAATGTTTATGGAAATAGAGTTAAAACAATGTAGTGAAAAAATCCTAAATTATTTTGGGTCAATGCCACATCAATGCTGTCATTAATTATGCAAATTATTTAGAACAGGTAATCTGAATCTCCAAAAGGGGTGACCAGCAAGGGGAATTTGGGAATCGCAGCATCAAGAACTAGCTGGCAATTTTCTCTTCACCATCCTATCCCCACTCTCCTATTAAAAGCTTTGGGTTGATATGATGCAAGGTCAGCGATATTGAACCAGCTCATCAAACACATCTCATTAACATTCTCGACTGTGAAGTTCACCCCACTAATAATGAGCACCAATGCTGTTTCCTTGCCTAAAATAAAACAAAGTACTGCAGATGCTGGAAACCTGAAACAAAATGGAAATTGCTGTGGAAACTCAGCAGGTCTGGCAGCATCTTCTGAAGAAAGGTCACTGGACTCCATGTTAACTCTGCTTTCTCTACTCAGATGCTGCCAGATATGTTAAGTTTCTCCAGCAATTTCTGTTGTTGCTGTTTTCCTATCCTCCATACTCTACTTGTGTGGCCACTTTCAGGGAGCTGTGGACTTGAACCCCAAGATCCCTCTGTACATCAATGCTGTTCAGGGCTCTGCCATTAACTGTATACTTTTCCTTAACATTTGATCTCCCAAAGTGCAACACCTCACACTTAGACAGATTAAACTCCATCTGCCATTTTTCCCCCCATATTTGCAATTGATCTCTATCACGCTATATCATGTAACAACTTTCTACACTATCCACAACTCCACCGATCTTTGTATCATCTGCAAACTTACTAACCCATCTACATTTTCATCCAAGTCATTTATATATACAAATTGTAATCTGAAAAAAATCTGAGCACATTCCCTAGTAGATCACAAAGTTTATTTTGTGAACAGCTGAATTGTGTAGGTTAAGAGCATCCCTAGTTTGATCCATAACTGTGCAGAGTTGATGGATCTTGGCTAAAGCAGCATATTGAATGTCATAATTGGTCTCAAATCATCTGGGTTTAAAGTAGGAGAAATATCATATTCGATTCCTGCTTCTGTTAATTATCCAGCAACACCCGTGGAAAATGTTTGTACGAGAGTTTGGTGAGAATAAAATGAGGCACAAATGTGCAATTATGCACAATCTGACAACTTTTGTCCACTCGCCTTTGAGGCTTAAATGGGAAGGGAGTCCACTTGGACAATTACACAGCAACTGATTAGTGGAATATTACCTCAGCAGCAAGTTAATGTGTTCAAAGACAATAACTGGCAAGGATAATGCAAACAAGGAAATATCTGGCAAACAAAATATTACACAGGATATAGCTTTGATTATTAATACAACATCGAAATAAAATTTGTTTACTCAAGAGTCATGAACAAAAAGGAAGGCTGAATTGAACCAAATTTTACTCTTTCCACTTTTTTCCAACACGTTTATGATTGACTTTTTTTTTGCTTTTCTCCTTTAAGAATAGATGGTGATTTGTTTCTGTTTGTGAAGTCCAATTTAAAATTATCCACAGCAACTTTTTAAGGGTTAAAACAAAGCAAGGTTTATCACGAATTACAAAAACAGCTCGTGGGAGTTGGGGAGGTTGTTGGTGGAAGGTGGCATGATGTTCACAACACACATTCAAATGTACGTGCATCCAGTAAAGAAGGGAGAAAAAGTTAAAATGTATTTGAAATAGACATTTTCAATTTTAAGTGAATTAGAAAGTCCAATAAATCAATGTCCAGTGGAGGCTCAGTACACATAGCTCTGCATGGAAATCCCTTCTGCAAAAGCTTGGATGCTATCAGTGAAGTTGCAGACATTGTAAGCTGGGAATTGGTTCTTTCTTGAAATTGTGATGGTATTGAAATCAAAATCATTTGCTAGATTTGCAGCTGCTCACTTCTCTGATGTTACAAGCAGTCTGATGAACAAAGTCAGAAGTTGGACATATAAAGGTGATTTGAACAAGTCAGTGTCAGTCAGTGACTGGGGTTTCTGGCTTAGCCACTCAACTAACTAGGTGAGCTTGATGTCCTAACCAAAAAATCTGTGGCAGGTAATTGTGGAGTTGTTAGCACCAAGTCAGGTTTTGATGGTCTCCTTTGTTCAGAATTGGCTGAGGTAGACATCTTGTCCGCTATTTCTTTGGGTTGGCTTTGCTTAAAAGTTCATACAATGCAAGGAGTATCACACTCCAGCAGATAATGAATTCACTTTTGGTCTGGTAATTGCTGGAAATTTCTGGATGCAGTCAACTTGCTCATTTTGTGTTTGATAGCAGCCATTTTAAAATATAGCAAGAGTCCATTTTAAAAAATGGAATGTCAATACAAAAGATGTCTACTAGCTCACCTAATATGCACAGATCTCCCCAATGGTGACATAATGTTATGACAAGACCTCCATTACCAGAATGCATTAGCGCATGTGTGGATGAAGTCAACAGTGGATGTGGTAAAATAGATATGTTGTTCCAAAAATCATTTGACTTGAACAAAAACAAAGTTGCTGGAAAAGCTCAGCAGGTCTGGCAGCATCTGTGAAGGAGAAAACAGAGTTAACGTTTCGGGTCCGGTGACCCTTCCTCAGAACATCATTTGACTTGAACTCAACTCTCAACAAACAGTTAAAATGAAGACCCATTCAGTGCCAGGCAAGGTCTTAAATTTCTGCCACTTGCACAGATTATAATAATTTTCAGTTCTGGATTTTATGAACAAAATGCAATTAAGCTAGATAGGAAGGTTTGCTAAATTTCTTATCTGAAGTACTTGTGAGGGATGGGTGGGGGAAAGCCTGATTAAACCTCACTGTCATGCATAAAAAATAACAGGTTTCTAAACCACTAAAAGTTGTAATTCCCATGATTTTGGTCAAGTGGAGGGATGAGGAGCCAAAAGTGTGTTGATTTTCATGATGGGTGAGACAAAACTCCTGAGTTTCTCTCCACCTTTTCTTTTGACTACATGGGTAGTCATACAAGCAGATGCGGCGCTGTTTGTGCGTTGGCATGCCAGCTGTGCCTCTTAGTGGCATTAGTGATAACACAGCCTTAAAAGAAATTTAAACAAGATATTATAGCTTTTAAAGAAACCAAAATTTAGGATCATTTTCTTTCTGCCCTCTGGCTATTACCTAAGAATGTTTTATTTAAGAAAATAAATTGTCCAAGATATTTGCTTGTGATTAAACAATAATGCTTGTAATCCTCAAGTCAGGCTTGACTCAAAAGCAAGTCCAGCATGTCACCTAGTTTACTGAAAAAAGAATCAAGTTTATAATTCCAATAAAGTATTGATATGCGTACATTATTTGTATTGTGAGATGATGCCATCTACTCCTGATTTAATGCTGAATTTTTAGCAGTTGCACGTATGACAAGCATGTGTTTTTGGCGTTTGTTTTTAAAGGTTTTACACATAACTAAAATTTAATCCAATGACACTATCTAAACACCAAACATTCACTGCTTCCAAACCAAAACCATACAACAAACAGCCAGTATCCTAAATCTCTGGAAACTGATACTCAGCTCAATCATACGTTGTTCATTTTTACAGGCAAAGATATAGCTTTACTAATGGGAGATTGTAAGAACTGCAGATGCTGGAGTCTGAGATAACACAGTGTGGAGCTGGAGGAATACAGCAGGCCAGGCATCATCAGCGAAACAGGAATGTTGACATTTTGGGTCGGGACCCTTCTTCAGAAAGGGGGAGGGGGAGGGAAGCTCAGAAATAAATAGAGAGG